GCCAGATCCCTAAGATGCTCGCGTATCTCCATCCAGTACAAAGGTTAAGAATATATAAAGCTATACGTCCACTTTCCCATACGTCGTCATGGCTTGATAAAATGACGTGCATTACGGTTTCCTTCATCAGAGTTCTCATTTTTGTTGTTGGTATAACCAACTATGTAAAATTAAAATTCCTCAATATATTATTTTGTTTTCTATCTCTAATTTATTAATATTCATTTAGTCTTTATAATATTATTTAATTTACAGGCCGATTATAAAAATGATGATGCTCTAATTGTAAATCGAACATTTCGATAGAAAGAGCATCATTTTAATATATTTTAAATATTAAATGTTAATTGTAATAATAATATTTTAATATTTAATAAAATATTTTATTGTGATTAGACGGTTAAAATTAAACAATTACAACTATGTAAACTTTACCAGAAAATATAAAATCATGCACACAAACAAAACTGTTTACACATTAAATGTGTCAATAATTTTGTTCGTGTGCATGATTTTATATATCAATAAACTGCACGGTATGCGAGGTTTCAAGTTTACCAGAGAAATCAATTGCATAATATTGAACTCTACTTTCAAAAAAACAAATATATACGTGCAGGAGTAAGGGAAAAACGTAGGATAAAACAAAAAAAAACATTTAATAATTGTTTCAACTTATGTATTTGTACAAAAAAATCAAATAATAAAAAATACAGTAATCGAGATCCGCAATGCACCAAAAGAAGTCTCCTAATGTGTCAGTAATTCTCAAAATTGCTTACGTCATGTCTCCATATTGCCATACAAATATGGCTCCGTCATATATATGACGTCATGCATACATAATCATAATTGAGAATGTTTGGTAAAGATAAATAACAAATCAAAGGGTGTTTTCGGCTTAAACGGACCAAGATTACTGCATGCATTAGTCTACAAATGAGATGAAAATCACAGTAACACATGTTAAAATAAGGATTACGTAACTAGTAAACAAAACAAGAAAGAATAACTAATTGAAAATAAAACCACGTATACGTGCGAGTAGGAGGGTTTATAAGAAGGTACATATTTTTCTACTGAAGTTGCGTTATCAAACCCTGCTTCATCCGAACATAAAGTATCACCTCCTGACTTGCAAAACTCGCACCGAAAATTAGGCTAATGACATTCCTCCTTGGAAGATTCAACCAAAAAGCAGTCCAATAGTACTGGAAGCCTAGAATGCAACGACGTTGCCAACATTTCAAGATCCAAGAGTGGCTCTCGGTTACAAATATCTATCTTTATGAGCAAGGTTGGTAGCTTGGTTGGCTCATCGTTTGCTGTTTACAGATTCCCGTCATTGTTGGCGGGCAGCTCACTAGATTTGTACATTTGGTATCAGGAGCAATACAAGAAACAGTTGACTAACAATAACACTGAACACTGTTAATAAAATCATGGATTTTAAGTCAAGCGTCTTATGACAATTGGTAAATTAGCATCCACCCTAATTAACGAGAGTGAATTTTACGTTCAAAACTTTTTTATCAAATATTGTTCAAGCTTTACTCCATGTCTGTCTGTCTGTAGCTATTTTCCCTAGAAGGTAGGACCATATGATCAGGGCATTGTTAAGCGACAATGTTACCGTATGCCTTGAAATGTTTAACAACGTACAAGACTTCGTAATATTTATTGTGGATATAACATTAACGGTATGGAGTTCCAAATCGTCTTTTTAGTTACAACATCCATCTCGGTCTTGGTCTGGAGTCACACGTCTAAATTTTAACCATTTCCAACAATTAAAGGTATATTTATAGAGGAACGTAAAGATAACGACACGAGCACGACACGAGCCATTGCCGATTTTTCAGAAAATATTATTCAACGTTTTTCAATGGAACTGTTTAGGAAAAATATCGTTGGAGACGTAAGTTGGGCGAGACTCGTTCGTGGAACGGACGAGCTCGGAGTCAATATAAACAGTTCCATTGAAAAACGTTGAATAATATTTTCTGAAAAATCGGCAAGGGCTCGTGTCGTGCTCGTGTCGTTATCTTTACGTTCCTATATAAATAGTCCCTTATGCTACACCATCAACGTGAGTCCATATTGTAGGACGAAGAGGTGAAGACCTCAGTCTAGAACCTTTGCGAATACGATAATGAACCTTTCATCCCACGAAAGGCGTTGGATTTAGTAACTATAGGTACAATCTGTAAACAAATAACTCGGCTCTTATGAACATATTATTTACTGAAAGCGTGAGGAAAATCAGTG